GCAACTCTGGCTCTGCAAAACTGCTGACATGCTACTGACTCATTACACGGGGGTGTGCAGCGTGTTATACCCATATAAACGGTATGACTTACGCATATTACAGGAAACAGCTTTATAGAATAAGAAATGAAACACACTACAAAGGCAAAGCTACAGATATACAGCAGTCCCTGTGCAGTTCCTGGTGGAATCAGTCTTTCTAGTCCTATTCCGTTTCAGTGCAGGTCACGCAGAAAGACCATTGGCCACCTCATCTGCCTTCAGCCATCCAGTTTCAGCCAGTCCTCAGCAAGCCATCTGAGGACTTTCCTCAAACACTTAAAGAATAAAGTCCATTATAGCTATCAGGAAGGGGATGGCGCATCACCAGTCACCAGTTCCGCAAATTTTAGGGGAAACAAAACAAAGCATCAGATGACAGAAACTGAAGTGACACTGAAACAGAAAGCAGAAGTGGTTCTTATGGGAAACTCCATATTTGCTATAAAGATCTCGGTGCTGTAGTTGATCCAATTGTCCTTCTCGACAGTATTCAAAAATATATTTAAAAATCAGAAAATATACATTTAGAGTACCATCTGTCCAAATGTTTATCCTGGCTGTGTTTGTGGGTGGTCTGGAATCTTGTGTCCATAAATATAAACTACAGATAACAGTTGCATAGATAGGCTCATTCCCTGACCACACCCTCTTGGTGAAACTAACATAATAGCAAAAGTGAAACATGCAAGGGACAACAACACAATCATTCAGCTTGGAGAAGCACAATGTCTGGACTGTTGTGACACAAAGCTGAATATGTGGTCAGAGGCAACAGCAGTCATTTGATATTCTGGGTGACTGACCGCAAATGAAACAAGCTTGTGATCTGACTTTTCCCTGCCCCAGGAGATCCAGGCCCACGTCTTACATATACTTAATAAAATGCTTTATTTTCACATTTTTGTTTCTGCTGTGGTTCTTTAATCTAAGATAAATTAACATGCAGAATTGGGGCAAAGCCTAGGCTTCCCACTTGCCTGTGTGTATGACTGGATATTTCAGTGCAGTATATTTGTATTTGTATTTTATTGTATTTGTTACATACTTGGCTAATAAAGTCAGATTCTGCAGTAATAATGACATCACCACTGGGCCCTTAACCCTACCTGCTCCAGGGAGGCTGGCTGACCCTGTGCTCTGACCCCAGGTTTCCTAACTTGTGCATCACTTTGGATAAAAGCATCAGCTAAATGAATGTAAATATAATAGCAGTTTGACTCAACATGCAGTTTTCTGGATTAGATTTCTGAAGAAACCCTGTTATTTTACATCCAAACAAGATAAATGTCAGTTAAGCAATTAAAGCAACAATAGGCTAAAACATAATGAAAGAACACAAAAGAACTCTGGCTTGAAATCTAATTAGCAATCAAGTCCCTTTGAATACCATGGATTCATTATTATTGTGTTTATAAGGCATCATTGTCAATGTGTTTAATAGCTTTATTGAAAACTTCAATGGTTCAAATGACTCAGCACAGCTACAACTATTTATTACTTTTTAAAATTAGTTGAGTAATCTGATAAAATAAGTATTTTGTTCAAGTGTGACAATAAATGAAAGATCTTATCCCAAAAAGGTCTTTCAATAAACAAATTGTGGTTTTCATGAAAATGAAACTAAAATTTTTACAAACCATATTTGCAAATATCAAAATAAAAGATTTTTAAAGTGCAATCCACTCCTTTTCAGTGCATTAATTGCCTTACTCCAACTGCCACTGTCTATCACTTCTCTCTTCCTTTTGCTTTTCCCCATTTTCCTCTTGGTGCCTCAGTTAATATCATCCACCCACTTCTGCATTCTGTATATAACAGTTCCGTGGAGCATAAAGCAAATAATCGGTGTAGAAAATTTACCTTGAGGATTTTTAACTGAATTATTTGAATCCTTTCAGTCCAATTATTAAAAAACCGAGAATGTTTTCTTACGGCAAAATTTGCATGAAACAAAATTAAAATCATTTTCATAGACTGGTTAGTAACTGTATTACTAAAAGACAATTCAATGAGAAACATCTAAATAAACCCTTTCATTATAGAAAAAAAATTATTATACAAAATTATAAGCAGTGTACTTCTTTGCTATTGCAGAAATATATGGTTACAATTATAAATTCATATAACCTCAGGCAAAATTTTACCAAAGATTTTAAAACCAGACCAGTTGATGGCCCAGCGGACAGCACTCTGTCCTCACACCTCCAGGCTGGAGGTTTTGATTACAGTCTCTGCTCTGAAGAATGTCTCTGTGGCCATCCAGTACAAGCCACCGTCAAGCTACCAAAGTGTCAATTTCCTGTTATCACGCAGCTAGAGACCAGGATTCACTTCTAACAGACCACCAGGTGTCTGCTTCCATGTCCATAAGAAGCTCCTTTGAACTCCAGTGGACTTCTTGATGTAGCCAGAACTTCTGTAGCCAATGTTGGGAAAGCAGAGTAGGAGCCAATCACTGGGCTCCAGAGACATGAGGAGGCAGGTTTATTTATTTTAAAAAAGAGAGAATCACAGTCAAGAGAATCGGCCAAGAGTCAAGTCAGGTAAGCAGAACTTTCTCTAAAGACGATCAAGACATGGACTAAGCAGCAGAAAGAAGCTCTGCAGCTGGTTTGTTCTTTTTCAAACTGCAAAGAACATCCACACTGGTGTCTGAAAGCCAGGAGGAGATACAGACGTTACAATCCTCTGGAGAAAAATCAAGGATTATTTAACCACTGTGCAGTTATTGAAGAATTTAATCCTGAGGAGGAGGAGGTGAAACATCCAGAAGTATCAGGCGGCTCCTCTGTGGGTTTATGTCACATCGTCATCTTATACCTGAGGAAGAAACAAGCTGCCTGTTAGCACAAGAGCAACATGAACTACTAACCTCTGCAGAATTCAGCAAATACACGTGTAACACAGACCTGGACATAAATGCAGGATCCACAGTCATTGTCGTATGGAAGCCCATTTTACACTGAACCCTGAACCCTTTCCTGAAGTTATTACTAATATACTGACTTACTTGTGGATTCGGCAGTATATTTTCACCTTCTGCGGGTGGGTCCTGTCAAAATTGTAGAATGAAATTAATATGAATGTAGTCTGGTCTTATGAAAGGTTGGTTGAATATATTACATGAATTATTCACTGGGAAAATATGTGCAAAAAAAAAAAAATAGAAATTTAACAGACCTTATTCTGTTTGCGGATTCCTAAAAGATATATGTTAATTTAAAAAATGATCACAGTACAGCTTGGTGTCATTCAAGTTCACTTCTTCATTCTGCATTTAGTATTTCAGATTACTGCCAACTTTAGTTTTTGAAATTACTTTTTTTTGTTCATACCCAATAAAAACCATTTTTATAAATCCTGATATGCACTTAAGTATGTAATATTCTTACCATGTTCAGGGAATTTTTTTCTTCTTCTGTATCTTACTGCTGTGACTGCTATTATTATTATTATTATTATTATTATGATTATTATTATTACTGCTGACACAGGTATTTTAACTGTCAATGCAGTAACACTTTTCTCTCTGCATTCGGAATCAGTTGCTTGGTCTCCTGCTTTAACTGTGACAAGTCCTCTGGATTCACAGCTGTACAAATAAGCGTGTATGATATGAGAAATTTTAGTGACAAAATGTAATACAAACTAACAGGAAAATAATGTTTCCTTCACCAAAAAAAAATCCTGATCATTGACTGACTGGAATTATGAAACTTACTCTGTGTGTGGTGTACAGGATGTAAAAGAGCCATTAGAGTAAGAATTGTCACTGCAGTCCTCACATACTGTATCAGTGTATTCTGTTCCTGAAAGGTAAAGAAATTTAAAACTATTAACATATTTCAAGAAGACAAAGTTAATATCTGGGTTTACTAATTAAAACATACATTATGAGTATGAGAAATCCATACAAACCTGGCTGTTTGATGAACTGTCCAGGTTCGCAGGCTGTGTGTTTATTGGCTGCCCTGCACCCTCCCATATAAGAATTAATACAATAGTGCCCTTCCAGGACCCCACACACTGTATCTGAAGTGGGTGTACATGCCCTCACTGTTTTCACACCAAGGCCTGTGGAGAAAAGTAACCAGAATTAATATAAACACCCAAGACAGAAATGAATGTATTATACAACATGAAAGAGTTAATAAGATGGGTAGCTGAACTGAACTGAAATGTTACCTCCATCACAGACTGTACAGGGGCTGCACTGTTCCAGACCATTGGGCTGGTCATTGAATGTAGAACCTATGCATGGAGCACATGAAGTGCTGGTCCATGCTGTACAATGTTTGTAGACACGACTTCCTGAAAATAAGAAATACTGGTTATTCTGGCAGATTCCTCTGACATTTCTAAGCAATGAGAACAGACTTGTGGTCACTCTGGTATAATATTACGATCCCCAGTCTAGGGATGAGGATCAAGAGAAAGGTAAGGGAAAGGGAGAGGGGAAGAAGAGGCAACCAAGGAACGGGAAAAGGGAGCACGGGAAACAAAGGGATCTTTTTTTGTAGTTTTTGTTATATTTATTCACAGACACGTTAACAGACACGAGGTGCAACAAACTTCGGGAGTAACCCAGGCCAAAATAACAAACAAAACAGCTAACGAACATGTCCCAAACTAAGATAACACTAGGTGTAATGAAAACAAAAGGAAACGAAATGACAGAGACTAAGCCTAACTCCCTAACCAAAACCACAGTAAACACCACGTTCGCATAAACAAAAAGGCAGCCACTCCTTACGCACCTAACAGACAAGTACAGAAAACACACAGGCCGAAACACGGTATCCAAAAGGGCGAGGCAAAGAGAGCAGTCAGGAGCCAAGCAAGAGTTCAAACCAGAAGACAAACAAACCGAAGGCAAGGGTACCAATAGGACGAAGCAGAAAATTAGAAACCAGGAAACCAAACAGTCATACACAGAAGTCAAATCAGAAAATAGCAAACCAACACAGCAAGAGCTCAAGCTAGATGCGATTAGTAGGCTTTATCCTCGTCGACTGGATCACAGGGCCAGGGTCAAAGGTCAGAGGGTGGAAGGGGCATAACCCGGAAACCAGGAGGCGGGCTGAAGCAGCAACTGGCAAGTGGAGCTTGGGGCAGAAGACTGAGGTGTCCTGTAGACATATCCAAAACCCTTACGGCGCGTAACAATAATGTGACTTACCAGGGTGACACATAGGACAGCACTCATCACCGATTCTATATTCAGCCTGGCCGCATGCGTAACAGGGATTATAGTTAACACACAGAAGAAGAAGAAGAATTAAATATGTCTGTGAAAGAAAAAAAAACCCATTAGATTGTATGAAATCAGTTATTTAACCAAGTACCGATTAACCATTAATCGGGTTACATGCTTTTCATTAAACTGACATGAGCCGTGACTAACAGCATGACAGTATATATGCTGCTTATGTGATCTAAACAAACAGTTAAATCAGAGGGACCTGGATAGACATAGATATTTCAAATAGTTTGACGAGAAAAGTGGCTCATGTATAAAATCAGGATTTTTTATATATGTCTCATACACGTGTGTGAGACTGAAGTAACTGCAGTCAGATGGTTAACAAGCAAAAGCATTCATTGCAATGCTGATAGTCTGGGGAAATTTTAAATGTTAAAATGAGCACAACAGAATGCATGAAGCGCATGAGTACTCAGTAATCAAAAGAGACCAGTTTATAGTGTAACTGGTCAATACGTTTTGATCTGCATGATGGCTTAACAGGTTCACAATGTTTTGCCAAAACAGCAAGACACACTAATTGAATCTACAGAGCTGACAAGTCATTCTGTGCTCTGGGACGTTCCCGGCTGTCACGATCAATGGGGAAGCAGGCGAAGGAAGCCATGAATAGGTACAAAAGGGATTTATTTCGGGGCTGACACACTTCAAGACACACGTAACGTTAATGACCGGACTGGGGAAACAAACGGAAACGCGGACTAAATACACTGTACTAATGACACCAATCAGAAACAGCCATAAAACACTGGGAATCCACATGAGGGTAACGAGGGGCACATGGCACAGAAGGATCAGCACGATCGGGGCGTGACACCGGCCTGATCTGCCTGATTCTCTGCAAGAATGGAAAGGCATGTAGAAGATGAACAAACACAAATCTAGAAACAGCTACAAAGCATCAAAAAATGTTACTACCTGAAGCAGAATAAACATGTTGTGAACAGTATCTGGTTGAACCCAGCATCCAGCACTTGAGAAATAACCATAAATCACCGATGACAAAATCTGGGATTCAGTTTCCATTGCATAGCATTGCAGACCTCTTTCCCATTCTCTTAGATGAACAAGGAGCCATCCTAGGTGAAAACAGGGAATACATTTAAATACAGAGATCGATATTTGTATATTTTTCGTACATCTGTTGTTACACCTTCACACCAATGAAATCCATTCCAGCTTGTCCGTGATCCAGACCATGTTTTCCTCCTGTCACCAGCCACCTCCATTCCAATTTCCTCCAGCTCCATGCCACAGAGTTATTGTGGGAGCAACCAGGGGTGTCCCAAAGCAACAGGCACTTGGGGGGAGTCAATTATTAAAACACTCTCTCTGACTGATGATTACCCAGTAAAATCAGATGTGCCTGATCTGGGCCAGTTCCTATCCACCAAGAGCATGAGCCACAGACAGGAAGGAGGATGTGGGAACTCCCCATTCTGAAATCAGCCTAGAGTCAATGAAGCTTTTCCTCTGCCCACAAACTGATGAGTACATGGAGAGCTTTTGGCCTGGGTGGTTGGCAGAAACGTTTGGCATGTTGGTGAGGTCATGCTCATCAGTACTCCCCGTCTCACTGGTGTGCACTTCCTTTGATGGACAAGAAAACACAAAACATCTGGGCTTGTCCAGAATATAGACAGGAATGACAGAAAATCCACATCTATCTCTCTGCTGGTGACAGGTGAGTTCAATCCACATGATCTGGCCCGCCATTAAATACTAATCTGAGCGTGGTGGATGAAACGGTCACTGGTGCTTGAAAGGCATTGTCATCTCTCCAAAGGGGGTAAGTGTCTCTCCCCCACTTAGACTGGGTTATCGGGTTGCCTACCTGGATCGCTAAATCAACTTTTCAAACAAGTCTAGTAACTCCTAGGTAGCTAGTTCATCATTTATTTCTTTAGATAAGCTGTATGGGAGTGTGTTGAACAATACCTCCATATTCCAATGACTGAAGATCACCAGAGTCCAGTATTTTATGGCAAAAATCAGAGACTAACAGACACCTCTACTGAAAGAGCACGCTCGTGGGCAGTGTCCCTTGTGGCGCTTTTCCACTGCATAGTACGGCACGACACGGTTCAGTTCAGCTCACTTTTGGGGGGGTTTCCACTGGGAACAGTACCTGGTACCTGGTCCTTTTTTTAGTACCACCTCAGCCGAGGTTCCAAGCGCGCCGAACCGTTACCAAAACGTGATGTGTAAACTCTACTGGTCACTGATTGGCCGGA